AAGTGTTTAATTACAAGTATTGTAAGTAACACACTACCACCACAACACTACCACCATCACCACCACCACAACATTACCACCACCACAACATTACCACCATCACCACCACCACAACACTACCACCATCACCACCACCACAACATTACCACCACCACAACATTACCACCATCACCACCACCACAACACTACCACCATCACCACCACCACAACATTACCACCACCACAACATTACCACCATCACCACCACCACAACACTACCACCATCACCACCACCACAACATTACCACCACCACAACATTACCACCATCACCACCACCACAACACTACCACCATCACCACCACCACAACACTACCACCACAACCACAACACTACCACCACCACAACACTACCACCACCACAACACTACCACCACCACAACACTACCACCACAACCACAACACTACCACCATCACCACAACACTACCACCACCACAACACTACCACCACCACAACACTACCACCACAACCACAACACTACCACCACAACCACAACACTACCACCACCACAACACTACCACCACAACCACAACACTACCACCACCACCACAACACTACCACCATCACCACCACCACAACACTACCACCATCACCACCACCACAACACTACCACCATCACCACCACCACAACACTACCACCATCACCACCACCACAACACTACGACCATCACCACCACCACACCACTACCACCATCACCACCACAACACTACCACCATCACCACCACCACAACACTACCACCATCACCACAACACTACCACCACCAGCAGCCTGTACTCACTACAGAGCCCTGTAACACGTCAACACCTTCCTCATTACACAAGGGTGGTAGAGCCAGAGATATAAGAGGCTGGGAACACAGGGTCCGCCATCATCAACACACTTAACCCACACATGACAAAATGTAGGGCGTGACATTTCAGTCCGTCATGGACCATTATGAAGTCGTATAAGGTCGGCTGGGAATCGAACCTGGGCCCTTTGGACTACGACCACCCGTAGAGCTGTCCATTCGGGCGCGAGGGGACGTACGTGTGTGTACGTGTGTGTGTGTGTACTCACCTATATGTGCTTGCAGGATCGAGCATTGACTCTTGGACTCTTGGACTCTTGTGTGTGTGTGTGTGTGTGTGTGTGTGTGTGTGTGTGTGTGTGTGTGTGTGTGTGTGTGTGTGTGTGTGTGTGTAAATCACGAAAATTAACAACATACATCTTCAGCCTAACTAAAAACTAAGACGGTTAGGTTAGGTCGTGGTTTTCTATTGAGCTTTCCAGGTAAACTTACATATTCACAATATATTTGGCAGTACGGTTTAATACTAATTGAAAATAAGTACAATTCCTGGCTGTCATACATAGTACATAATTGCACTTATGGAGCTGTTACATTTACCTCCCCATTTTTGGAGGACGGGCTGCAAAGTTGGGAAAGGCTAGCCCTAAGCGTCTGGCCGTCTACCTTGAACACACATACATGCTCTCTGTTATAGGTAGTATAATATTGTACAGTAGGCCTACTTAGAACTTACAAAATGATCAGTTTAAATTATTTAGATATAGGTGACGCTCCTGTTGCTGCTGCTACTGTTCTGTTGATCCTGTTCATTATCAGTTACTATTGCTGCCTTAACAGTTACCACTTCTACTGTTGATGCAATAATTGGTGGTGTTAACAATGTAGTGACCAGGACTAGTAGTGTTGATGTCGGAGCGGTCACCACCGCCGCTACTGCTCACACTGGTACAAACACTGCTTGTATACTGATACAAAAACTCCTGATATTCCTATCACTTTTACAATCGCCCCTACAATCCCTTAAACCTGGAGAGGTATAAGGGATTGTATTCAATCGAATACAATCACTTATACCTGGAGAGGGTTTTCAGTCCTACTCCCAAAGTCTGGCCTAGGGCCAGGCTGGACTATTGAGAGTTTGGTCCAACAGGCTGTTGGTTGTAGCGGCCCGCAGGCCCACATATCCACTACAGCCTGGTTGGTCCGGCACTGCTTGCAAGAACCTGTCAAAGTTCTATTGATGATGAGTACTACTACACCAACTGAGACTGTTGTTGATGCTAATGATGGTAAAGTTCCAGCCACTAGAGTAATAGTGATGCACTCATTGATGATGATAGTGAAGATACAGTTGATATACCTAAGGATGATGACACGGATCTTGCTCATTGATGTGATCTTGGCCAGTGTGATACAGGTGCTACAGCTGCTTCTATTGGCTGGAGGTTAAGGTAGATGTAAGTTCTTCTTTGCTATATCTAATGCAGACATTGCCCTTCACATCCGGGTACTTCCGCCTATATCTGCGGATCATACTGATGCTGCCACTAATGCTTCTGATCATACTGATGCTGCCACTAATGCTTCTGATCATACTGATGCTGGCACTAATGCTTCTGATCATACTGATGTTGCCACTAATGCTTCTGATCATACTGATGTTGCCACTAATGCTTCTGATCATACTGATGCTGCCACTAATGCTTCTGATCATACTGATGCTGCCACTAATGCTTCTGATCATACTGATGCTGCCACTAATGCTTCTGATCATACTGATGCTGGCACTAATGCTTCTGATCATACTGATGCTGCCACTAATGCTTCTGATCATACTGATGCTGCCACTAATGCTTCTGATCATACTGATGCTGCCACTAATGCTGATCATACTGATGCTGCCACTAATACTTCTGATCATACTGATGCTGCCACTAATGCTTCTGATCATACTGATGCTGCCACTAATGCTTCTGATCATACTGATGCTGCCACTAATGCTTCTGATCATACTGATGCTGGCCCTAAGGCTTCTGATCATACTGATGCTGCCACTAAGGCTTCTGATCATACTGATGCTGCCACTAATGCTTCTGATCATACTGATGCTGCCACTAATGCTTCTGATCATACTGATGCTGCCACTAATGCTTCTGACCATACTGATGCTGCCACTAATGCTTCTGATCATACTGATGCTGGCACTAATGCTTCTGATCATACTGATGCTGCCACTAATGCTTCTGATCATACTGATGCTGCCACTAATGCTTCTGATCATACTGATGCTGCCACTAATGCTTCTGATCATACTGATGCTGCCACTAAGGTTTCTGATCATACTGATGCTGGCACTAATGCTTCTGATCATACTGATGCTGCCACTAATGCTTCTGATCATACTGATGCTGCCACTAATGCTTCTGATCATACTGATGCTGCCTCTAATGCTTCTGATCATACTGATGCTGCCACTAATGCTTCTGATCATACTGATGCTGCCACTAATGCTTCTGATCATACTGATGCTGCCACTAATGCTTCTGATCATACTGATGCTGCCACTAATGCTTCTGATCATACTGATGCTGCCACTAATGCTTCTGATCATACTGATGCTGGCCCTAACGCTTCTGATAATTTTACCCATTTCTGATAATTTTTACTTTACCCATTATTCCTATTGATCTCATTTTATAAGCTAACACTCCATGGTCACATATGTTGAATGTCTTTGCAAAATCTGTGTAAACAACATCTACATTTTGGATTTCCTCAAATTCTGTGATTTTGTCATAGTGGTTGAGTAACTATTACACAAGATCTTCCTACTACAAATCCATGTTGTCCTGGGTTGTGGACATTATTGTTGTCATTATTTTCCAAAAAACTGGAAATTTGATTTGATCACTACAGCTGCAGATACTGATGCAGTCACTACTGCTGCAGATACTGATGCAGTCACTACTGCTGCAGATACTGATGCAGTCACTACTGCTGCAGATACTGATGCAGTCACTACTGCTGCAGATACTGATGCAGTCACTACTGCTGCAGATACTGATGCAGTCACTACTGCTGCAGATAGTGATACAGTTACTACTGCTGCAGATAGTGATACAGTTACTACAGATGCAGATACTAATGCAGTCACTACAGCTGCAGATACTGGTGCAGTCACTACTGCTGCAGCTACTGGTGCAGTCACTACTGCAGCTACTGGTGCAGTCACTACTGCAGATACTGGTGCAGTCACTACTGCAGATACTGGTGCAGTCACTACTGCTGCAGATACTGATGCAGTCACAACTGCTTCAGATACTGATGCAGTCACTACTGCTGCAGATACTGATGCAGTCACTACTGCTGCAGATACTGATGCAGTCACTACTGCTGCAGATACTGATGCAGTCACTACTGCTGCAGATACTGATGCAGTCACTACTGCTGCAGACACTGATACAGTCACGACAGCTGCAGATACTGATGCAGTCAATACTGCTGCAGATACTGATACAGTCACGACAGCTGCAGATACTGATGCAGTCAATACTGCTGCAGATACTGATGCAGTCACTACAGCTGCATATACTGATGCAGTCACAACAGCTGCATATACTGATGCAGTCACTACTGCATATACTGATGCAGTCACTACTGCTGCAGATACTGATACAGTCACTACAGCTGCAGATACTGATGCAATGACTACTGCTGCAGATACAGTCACTACTGCTGCATATACTGATACAGTCACTACTGCTGCAGATACTGATGTAGTTATTACTGCTACATATACTGATGCAGTCACTACAGCTACAAATACTGATGCAGTTACTACTGCAGATACTGATGCAGTCAATACTGCTGCATATACTGATGCAGTTACTACTGCTGCAGATACTGCTGCAGTCACTACTGCTGCAGATACTGCTGCAGTCAATACTGCTGCATATACTGATGCAGTCAATACTGCTGCATATACTGATGGTCACTACAGCTGCATATACTGATGCAGTCAATACTGCTGCATATAATGATGCAGTCACTACAGCTGCATATACTGATGCAGTCACTACTGCTGCATATACTGATGAACTCACTACTGCTTTAGATACTTATGCAGTCAACACTGCTTCTGATACTGCTGAAGTCACTACAGCTGCAAATGCTGCTGAAGTCACTACAGCTGCATATACTGATAGTCACTACAGCTGCATATACTGATGCAGTCACTACAGCTGCAAACACTGATGCAGTCACTACAGCTGCAGACACTAATGCAGTCACTACAGCTGCACATACTGATGCAGTCACTACTGAAGATACTGATACAGTTGCTACTGCTGTGGATACTGATGCAGTTACTACTACTGCAGAAGTCACTACAGCTGCAGATCCTGATGTAGTCACTGCAGCTGCTGATACTGATGCAGTCACTACTGCTACAGATACTGATGCAGTCACTACTGCTGCAGATACTGATGTAGTCACTACTGCTACAGCTACTGGTGCAGTCACTACTGCTGCAGATACTGATGCAGTCACTACTGCTGCAGATACTGATGCAGTCACTACTGCTGCAGATACTGATGCAGTCGCTACAGCTACTGGTGCAGTCACTACTGCTGCAGATACTGATGCAGTCACTACTGCTGCAGATACTGATGCAGTCACTACTGCTGCAGATACTGATGCAGTCACTACTGCTGCAGATACTGATGCAGTCACTACTGCTGCAGATACTGGTGCAGTCACTACTGCTGCAGATACTGATGCTGTCACTACTGCAGATACTGATGCAGTCACTACTGCTGCAGATACTGGTGCAGTCACTACTGCTGCAGATACTGATGCTGTCACTACTGCAGATACTGATGCAGTCACTACTGCAGATACTGATGCAGTCACTACTGCTGCAGACACTGGTGCAGTCACTACTGCTGCAGCTACTGGTGCAGTCACTACTGCAGATACTGATGCTGTCACTACTGCTGCAGATACTGATGCAGTCACTACTGCTGCAGCTACTGGTGCAGTCACTACTGCTGCAGATACTGATGCAGTCACTACTGCTGCAGATACTGATGCAGTCACTACTGCAGATACTGATACAGTCACTACAGCTGCAGATACTGATGCAGTCACTACAGCTGCAGATACTGATACAGTCACTACTTCTGCAGATAATGATACAGTCACTACTGCAGATAATGATGCAGTCACTACTGCAGATACTGATAGTCACTACTTCTGCAGATACTGATGCGGTCACTACTGCTGCAGATACTGATACAGTCACTACTTCTGCAGATACTGATGCGGTCACTACTGCAGATACTGATGCGGTCACTACTTCTGCAGATACTGATACAGTCACTACTTCTGCAGATACTGATGCGGTCACTACTTCTGCAGATACTGATGCGGTCACTACTTCTGCAGATACTGATACAGTCACTACGTCTGCAGATACTGATGCGGTCACTACTGCTGCAGATACTGATGCGGTCACTACTTCTGCAGATACTGATACAGTCACTACTTCTGCAGATACTGATGCGGTCACTACTTCTGCAGATACTGATACAGTCACTACTTCTGCAGATACTGATGCGGTCACTACTGCTGCAGATACTGATGCGGTCACTACTGCTGCAGATACTGATACAGTCACTACTTCTGCAGATACTGATACAGTCACTACTTCTGCAGATACTGAAGCAGTCACTACTGCTGTAGATACTGATGTAGTTATTACTGCTACATATACTGATGCAGTCACTACTGCTTCAGATACTGATGCAGTCACAACTGCTTCAGATACTGATGCAGTCACTAATGCTGCAGATACTGATTCAGTCACTACTGCTGCAGATACCGTTGCAGTCACTTCAGCTGCAGATACTGATGTAGTTATTACTGCTATATATACTGATGCAGTTACTACTGCAGATACTGATGCAGTTACTACTGCTGCAGATACTGATGCAGTCACTACAGCTGCAGATACTGATGCAGTCACTACAGCTGCAGATACTGCTGCAGTCAATACTGCTGCATATACTGATGCAGTCAATACTGCTGCATATACTGATGCAGTCAATACTGCTGCATATACTGACGCAGTCACTACTGCTGCATATACTGATGCAGTCACTACTGCAGATACTGATGCAGTCAATACTGCTGCATATACTGATGCAGTTACTACTGCTGCAGATACTGCTGCAGTCACTACTGCTGCAGTCAATACTGCGGCATATACTGATGCAGTCAATACTGCTGCATATACTGATGAACTCACTACTGCTATAGATACTGATGCAGTCAATACTGCTGCTGATACTGCTGAAGTCACTACAGCTGCAAATGCTGCTGAAGTCACTACAGCTGCAAATGCTGCTGAAGTCACTACAGCTGCAAATGCTGCTGAAGTCACTACAGCTGCAAATGCTGCTGAAGTCACTACAGCTGCATATACTGATAGTCACTACAGCTGCAGATACTGCTGAAGTCACTACAGCTGCAGATCCTGATGCAGTCACTACTACAGATACTGATACAGTCACTACTGCTGCTGATACTGATGTAGTCACTACTGTTGCAGATAGTGATACAGTTACTACAGCTGCAGATACTAATGCAGTCACTACAGCTGCAGATACTGATGCAGTCACTACTGCTGCAGATAGTGATACAGTTACTACTGCTGCAGATAGTGATACAGTTACTACTGCTGCAGATAGTGATACAGTTACTACAGCTGCAGATACTAATGCAGTCACTACAGCTGCAGATACTGATGTAGTCACTACTGCAGATACTGATGCAGTCACTACAGCTGCAGATACTGATGCAGTCACTACAGCTGCAGATACTGCTGCAGTCACTACAGCTGCAGATACTGCTGCAGTCACTACTGCTGCAGATACTGCTGCAGTCACTACTGCTGCAGATACTGATGCAGTCACTACAGCTGCAGATACTGATGCAGTCACTACTGAAGCAGATAATGATACAGTTACTACTGCTGCAGATAGTGATACAGTTAATACAGCTGCAGATACTAATGCAGTCACTACAGCTGCAGATACTGGTGCAGTCACTACTGCTGCAGCTACTGGTGCAGTCACTACTGCAGATACTGGTGCAGTCACTACTGCAGATACTTATGCAGTCACTACTGCTGCAGATACTGATGCTGTCACTACTGCTGCAGATACTGATGCAGTCACTACTGCAGATACTGATGCAATAACTACTGAAGATACTGGTGCAGTCACTACAGCTGCAGATACTAATGCAGTCACTACAGCTGCAGATACTGGTGCAGTCACTGCAGCTGCAGATACTGATGCAGTCACTACAGCTGCAGATACTGATGCAGTCACTACAGCTGCAGATACTGATGCAGTCACTACAGCTGCAGATACTGCTGCAGTCAATACAGCTGCAGACACTGATGCAGTCACTACAACTACAGATACTGATGCCGTAACTAATGCTGCAGCTACTGATACAGTCCCTTCAGCTGTAGATACTGCTGTATTCACTACAGCTGCAGATATTGCTGCAGACTCTGATGCTGTCACTACTGCTGCAGATACTGATGCAGTCACTACTGCAGATACTGATGCTGTCACTACTGCTGCAGATACTGATGCAGTCACTACTGCAGATACTGATGCAGTCACTACTGCAGATACTGATGCAGTCACTACTGCAGATACTGATGCAATAACTACTGAAGATACTGGTGCAGTCACTACTGCTGCAGATACTGATGCTGTCACTACTGCTGCAGATACTGATGCAGTCACTACTGCTGCAGATACTAATGCTGTCACTACTGCTGCAGATACTGATGCTGTCACTACTGCTGCAGATACTGATGCAGTCACTACTGCAGATACTGATGCAATAACTACTGAAGATACTGGTGCAGTCACTACAGCTGCAGATACTAATGCAGTCACTACAGCTGCAGATACTGGTGCAGTCACTACTGCTGCAGATACTGATGCAGTCACTACTGCTGCAGATACTGATGCAGTCACTACTGCTGCAGATACTGATGTAGTCACTACTGCTGCAGATACTGATGCAGGCACTACTGCTGCAGATACTGATGCAGTCACTACTGCAGATACTGATGCAGTCACTACAGCTGCAGATACTGGTGCAGTCACTACTGCTGCAGATACTGATGCGGTCACTACTGCTGCAGATACTGATGCGGTCACTACTGCTGCAGATACTGATGCAGTCACTACAGCTGCAGATACTGATGCGGTCACTACTGCTGCAGATACTGATGCAGTCACTACTGCAGATACTGATGCGGTCACTGCTGCAGATACTGATGCGGTCACTACTGCTGCAGATACTGATGCAGTCATTACTGCAGATACTGATGCAGTCACTACTGCAGATACTGATGCAGTCACTACTGCAGATACTGATGAAGTCACTACTGCTGCAGATACTGATGCAGTCACTATTGCTGCAGATACTGATGCAGTCACTACAGCTGCAGATACTGATGCGGTCACTACTGCTGCAGATACTGATGCAGTCACTACTGCAGATACTGATGCGGTCACTGCTGCAGATACTGATGCGGTCACTACTGCTGCAGATACTGATGCGGTCACTACTGCCGCAGATACTGATGCAGTCACTACAGCTGCAGATACTGATGCGGTCACTACTGCTGCAGATACTGATGCAGTCACTACTGCTGCAGATACTGATGCGGTCACTGCTGCAGATACTGATGCGGTCACTACTGCTGCAGATACTGATGCGGTCACTACTGCTGCAGATACTGATGCGGTCACTACTGCTGCAGATACTGATGCAGTCACTACTGCTGCAGATACTGATGCGGTCACTGCTGCAGATACTGATGCGGTCACTACTGCTGCAGATACTGATGCGGTCACTACTGCTGCAGATACTGATGCGGTCACTACTGCTGCAGATACTGATGCGGTCACTACTGCTGCAGATACTGATGCGGTCACTACTGCTGCAGATACTGATGCAGTCACTACTGCTGCAGATACTGATGCAGTCACTACTGCTGCAGATACTGATGCAGTCACTATTGCTGCAGATACTGATACAGTCACTACAGCTGCAGATTCTGATGCAGTCACTACTGCTGCTACTGCTGCAGATACTAATGCAGTCACTACTGCTGCTACTGCTGCAGATACTAATGCAGTCACTACTGCTGCAGATACTGATACAGTCACTACAGCTGCAGATACTGATGCATTCACTACTGCTACAGATACTGATGCAGTCACTCCAGCTGCAGATACTGCTGCAGTCAATACAGCTGCAGACACTGATGCAGTCACTACTGCTGCAGATACTGATGCAATAACTACTGAAGATACTCATGCAGTTATGACTGCTACAGATACTGATACAGTCACTAATGCTGCAGCTACTGATACAGTCCCTACAGCTGTAGATACTGCTGTATTCACTACAGCTGCAGATATTGCTGCAGTCAATACAGCTGTAGACTCTGATACAGTCACTACAGCTAGAGATACTGATGCAATAACTACTGAGGCAGATACTGATGCTGTCACTACAGCTGCAGATACTGGTGCAGTCACTACTGCTGCAGATACTGATACAGTCACTACTGCAGATACTGATACAGTCACTACTGCAGATACTGATTGTCACTACAGCTACAGATACTGATGCAATAACTACTGAAGATACTGATTGCAGTCACTACAGCTGCAGATACTGATTGCAGTCACTACAGCTGCAGATACTGGTGCAGTCACTACAGCTGCAGATACTGGTGCAGTCACTACAGCTGCAGATACTGGTACAGTCACTACAGCTGCAGATACTGGTGCAGTCACTACTACTGCATATACTGATGCAGTCACTACAGCTGCAGATGCTGGTGCAGTCACTACAGCTGCAGATACTGGTGCAGTAACTACAGCATCAGTATCTGCAGTGATCGTATACTCCTGGTTATGCTGACAATTACACTGATCAAGCCAATGTTAAGAGCTACAAGTGATGTTCACGAAGTTCTTCCGCTAATAATACTGATAAAATTACTAGTTAAGGATACTGACAAAATTGTATTAATTATTCTGTAGAAGTTGCAAATGATACTGAAATGATTACTACTAATTATATAGATGAAGAAATTAGTACTAATCATACTGACAAGGAAACTAGTTATAATGATAGGAATGAATTAGTGCTAATTAAACGGACTAAGAAACTAATAAAGAATTAAGAAGGTAGTACTAATGATGCAGAGTAACTAGGCTTACTGAAACTGTATTGAGGGTTATCTTGAGGTTATCTTGAGATATCGGGGCTTTTTAGTGTCCCCGCGGCCCGGTCATTGACCAGGCCTCCACCCCCAGGAAGCGGTCCGTGACAGCTGACTAACACCCAGGTACCTATTTTACTGCTAGGTAACAGGGGCATAGGGTGAAAGAAACTCTGCCCATTGTTTCTCGCCGGCGCCTGGGATCGAACCCAGGACCACAGGATCACAAGTCCAGCGTGCTGTCCGCTCGGCCGACCGGCTCCCAGTGATTAGTGATACTGACTACTACCACCGTGACTGTTACTACCACTGTGACTGTTACTACCACCGTGACTGTTACTACCACCGTGACTGTTACTACCACTGTGACTGTTACTACCACCGTGACTGTTACTACCACTGTGACTGTTACTACCACCGTGACTGTTACTACCACCGTGACTGTTACTACCACTGTGACTGTTACTACCACTGTGACTGTTACTACCACTGTGACTGTTACTACCACCGTGACTGTTACTACCACCGTGACTGTTACTACCACCGTGACTGTTACTACCACCGTGACTGTTACTACCACCGTGACTGTTACTACCACTGTGACTGTTACTACCACTGTGACTGTTACTACCACTGTGACTGTTACTACCACTGTGACTGTTACTACCACTGTGACTGTTACTACCACTGTGACTGTTACTACCACTGTGACTGTTACTACCACTGTGACTGTTACTACCACTGTGACTGTTACTACCACCGTGACTGTTACTACCACCGTGACTGTTACTACCACTGTGACTGTTACTACCACTGTGACTGTTACTACCACTGTGACTGTTACTACCACTGTGACTGTTACTACCACTGTGACTGTTACTACCACTGTGACTGTTACTACCACCGTGACTTAATACCACCGTGACTGTTACTACCACCGTGACTGTTACTACCACTGTGACTGTTACTACCACCGTGACTGTTACTACCACCGTGACTGTTACTACCACCGTGACTGTTACTACCACTGTGACTGTTACTACCACTGTGACTGTTACTACCACTGTGACTGTTACTACCACTGTGACTGTTACTACCACTGTGACTGTTACTACCACTGTGACTGTTACTACCACTGTGACTGTTACTACCACCGTGACTGTTACTACCACCGTGACTGTTACTACCACCGTGACTGTTACTACCACCGTGACTGTTACTACCACCGTGACTGTTACTACCACCGTGACTGTTACTACCACCGTGACTGTTACTACCACCGTGACTGTTACTACCACCGTGACTGTTACTACCACCGTGACTGTTACTACCACTGTGACTGTTACTACCACTGTGACTGTTACTACCACTGTGACTGTTACTACCACTGTGACTGTTACTACCACTGTGACTGTTACTACCACTGTGACTGTTACTACCACCGTGACTGTTACTACCACCGTGACTGTTACTACCACCGTGACTGTTACTACCACCGTGACTGTTACTACCACCGTGACTGTTACTACCACTGTGACTGTTACTACCACCGTGACTGTTACTACCACCGTGACTGTTACTACCACCGTGACTGTTACTACCACCGTGACTGTTACTACCACTGTGACTGTTACTACCACTGTGACTGTTACTACCACCGTGACTGTTACTACCACCGTGACTGTTACTACCACCGTGACTGTTACTACCACCGTGACTGTTACTACCACCGTGACTGTTACTACCACCGTGACTGTTACTACCACCGTGACTGTTACTACCACCGTGACTGTTACTACCACCGTGACTGTTACTACCACCGTGACTGTTACTACCACCGTGACTGTTACTACCACTGTGACTGTTACTACCACACTGTTACTACCACCGTGACTGTTACTACTACCACCGTGACTGTTACTACCACCGTGACTGTTACTACCACCGTGACTGTTACTACCACCGTGACTGTTACTACCACCGTGACTGTTACTACCACCGTGACTGTTACTACCGTGACTGTTACTACCACTGTGACTGTTACTACCACTGTGACTGTTACTACCACTGTGACTGTTACTACCACTGTGACTGTTACTACCACTGTGACTGTTACTACCACCGTGACTGTTACTACCACCGTGACTGTTACTACCACCGTGACTGTTACTACCACTGTGACTGTTACTACCACTGTGACTGTTACTACCACTGTGACTGTTACTACCACTGTGACTGTTACTACCACTGTGACTGTTACTACCACTGTGACTGTTACTACCACCGTGACTGTTACTACCACCGTGACTGTTACTACCACCGTGACTGTTACTACCACCGTGACTGTTACTACCACCGTGACTGTTACTACCACCGTGACTGTTACTACCACCGTGACTGTTACTACCACTGTGACTGTTACTACCACTGTGACTGTGACTGTTACTACCACTGTGACTGTTACTACCACTGTGACTGTTACTACCACCGTGACTGTTACTACCACCGTGACTGTTACTACCACCGTGACTGTTACTACCACCGTGACTGTTACTACCACCGTGACTGTTACTACCACCGTGACTGTTACTACCACCGTGACTGTTACTACCACCGTGACTGTTACTACCACCGTGACTGTTACTACCACCGTGACTGTTACTACCACCGTGACTGTTACTACCACCGTGACTGTTACTACCACCGTGACTGTTACTACCACCGTGACTGTTACTACCACTGTGACTGTTACTACCACCGTGACTGTTACTACCACCGTGACTGTTACTACCACCGTGACTGTTACTACCACCGTGACTGTTACTACCACCGTGACTGTTACTACCACCGTGACTGTTACTACCACCGTGACTGTTACTACCACCGTGACTGTTACTACCACACTGTTACTACCACCGTGACTGTTACTACCACCGTGACTGTTACTACCACTGTTACTACCACCGTGACTGTGACTGTTACTACCACCGTGACTGTTACTACCACCGTGACTGTTACTACCACCGTGACTGTTACTACCACCGTGACTGTTACTACCACCGTGACTGTTACTACCACCGTGACTGTTACTACCACCGTGACTGTTACTACCACCGTGACTGTTACTACCACCGTGACTGTTACTACCACCGTGACTGTTACTACCACCGTGACTGTTACTACCACCACTACCACCGTGACTGTTACTACCACCGTGACTGTTACTACCACCGTGACTGTTACTACCACCGTGACTGTTACTACCACCGTGACTGTTACTACCACCGTGACTGTTACTACCACCGTGACTGTTACTACCACTGTTACTACCACCGTGACTGTTACTACCACCGTGACTGTTACTACCACCGTGACTGTTACTACCACTGTGACTGTTGTTACTACCACCGTGACTGTTACTACCACCGTGACTGTTACTACCACCGTGACTGTTACTACCACCGTGACTGTTACTACCACCGTGACTGTTACTACCACCGTGACTGTTACTACCACCGTGACTGTTACTACCACCGTGACTGTTACTACCACCGTGACTGTTACTACCACCGTGACTGTTACTACCACCGTGACTGTTACTACCACCGTGACTGTTACTACCACCGTGACTGTTACTACCACCTGTGACTGTTACTACCACTGTGACTGTTACTACCACCGTGACTGTGACTGTTACTACCACCGTGACTGTTACTACCACCGTGTGACTACCACCGTGACTACTACCACCGTGACTGTGACTGTTACTACCACCGTGACTGTTACTACCACCGTGACTGTTACTACCACCGTGACTGTTACTACCACCGTGACTGTTACTACCACCGTGACTGTTACTACCACCGTGACTGTTACTACCACCGTGACTGTGACTGTTACTACCACCGTGACTGTGACTGTTACTACCACCGTGACTGTTACTACCACCGTGACTGTTACTACCACCGTGACTGTTACTACCACCGTGACTGTTACTACCACCGTGACTGTTACTACCACCGTGACTGTTACTACCACCGTGACTGTTACTACCACCGTGACTGTTACTACCACCGTGACTGTTACTACCACCGTGACTGTTACTACCACCGTGACTGTTACTACCACCGTGACTGTTACTACCACCGTGACTGTTACTACCACCGTGACTGTTACTACCACCGTGACTGTTACTACCACCGTGACTGTTACTACCACCGTGACTGTTACTACCACCGTGACTGTTACTACCACTGTGACTGTGACTGTTACTACCACCGTGACTGTGACTGTTACTACCACTGTGACTGTTACTACCACCGTGACTGTTACTACCACCGTGACTGTTACTACCACCGTGACTGTTACTACCACCGTGACTGTTACTACCACCGTGACTGTTACTACCACCGTGACTGTTACTACCACCGTGACTGTTACTACCACCGTGACTGTTACTACCACCGTGACTACCACCGTGACTGTTACTACCACCGTGACTGTTACTACCACCGTGACTGTTACTACCACCGTGACTGTTACTACCACCGTGACTGTTGTTACTACCACCGTGACTGTTACTACCACCGTGACTGTTACTACCACCGTGACTGTTACTACCACCGTGACTGTTACTACCACCGTGACTGTTACTACCACCGTGACTGTTACTACC